TTTAAATAACAGCTTTTATCATTTATCGTTCACCTTTTGTTATTGTAACGTAGTTACCTTACAATAAAAAGTATCTTGAGGTAACTGTTGTTGTAAGTTGGTGCTATATAAATAAGTAAGTACTGTAATTACTTACTTACTTAGTGATTACTTACTTACAATATAAATAAACATATTATGTTATTCAAAATAAAATAAAATAAAAATACTTTATTACAATGTTCATGATTAGGGAAAGTCAGTAACATGGTGGACCAGTATTGCCTATATTAACTCATCTCTGTGTTTGCTGTGGGAAATGGGCACTCCCTCCAAGGAGCTCATTAACTCCTGCATATAGCTTGATGTCATCCATATAGACATGGTTGCTGACAGTATCTGTAGCCACTCTTGGTAATGATCACTCTCCAGCAGTGGGGACAAAGAATCTCCTTAACGCACTTGCAAGTCTAATAGCAGTTTTACGGTTTTTCTTTTCAGTTTTAGGACAATAAATCATCAAGTTGACCGGGATGACTTGGTCGATGTAAAAAAAAAAAAAAATGTTTTGACTGTTAATATGAACCCACTCTACAGCCCTAAAAATTTTAGAATTAAATCAAGTACTTGAGTAATAGTGTTTACTGACAGAAAGGATGACACCCATGTAATGCTTAGTGGGTGGAGACAATGCATTCATCAGGGCATCTGTTAAAACAAACACCTCAAATAACTAATAACAAAAGAAAACAAGTCAATCTGCTCTCCCACAGGCACTCCCTGTTATCTTTATGCACGAACGTCATTATCTTTGGCATTGTTTTGTTAATAGTCCTGGATTTCATAATCAACATCAACTCCTCTTTCCTCATGAGACAGTCAGAGAGAAAGAGGCTGAAAATAAGCATGCAGAGCTGATATGACACTGACCAGTGTTTAACCTAGTCAGGTTTAAAACACAGTTATTCTGTTCTTCCTGGGGGAAAAAAGCTTAATCATTTAGAAATTTAGAATAGTTTTATTTAGCTTTGAATGAGCAGAAGTGGATGAAATGCCGGCTGTGAAAAGCTCGTCTCTCTGCCAGATTTTACTGTCTGTCTGCCTCCTGTTTTCCTCT